GAGGTGGGTTTATCATCCACATACTTTTTGTTTGCTGCGTCATTATTAGCTGTTGGTTTACCAACATTAGTTATTTTATTATTATTCATGCTTAAATTGCCAATCATTGTTCGTGAACCATCTCTGTTAAGAAAATTACTGTCAGAGTATTGTTTTGTTGCTGGCTCATCTGCATCATTTGGATGTTTAAGGTTTAAAATACGAAATCGGTCTTTCATATCTATGTTTGAATCAACTGTTAATCGCGTTGTTGTGGGTGCCCCGCTAGAATTATCATCAACATACTTTTTTGTAGCAGCATCAGTATTAGCAGTTGGTGTACCAACATTTCTTATTTTTTTATTTATCATATCATAATCACCATCAGAAGTAAGATTAAATCCAACTCCTGGTGCTCCTTGAATTCCTTTAGCAAATGAGTTATCTTTTTGTTCGTTAAATATTCCCATTTTATTTTATTAGATTAGACTACTAGTAAAGTTTTTAGCAATACGTTTTTTAGGCTTATCAACGTATAGAAAAGTAAATGGTTTTTTTGTTGCTTCTTTATATGTTTCTTTATCAACTCCTAATTCTGATGATATCCTGTTTGCTTCTCTCGATGATGGAAATTCGTAAAGACAGTAGTGAGAACAATTTAATCGTATATCCTTTGGAGTTTTGTAAAATGATTGACTGAGGTATATTACAGAGCAATTCTTATGACGACCTTGGATGAAATAATCAATAAGTTGTCTTTGATTTTTATCACAAACGTAATCATCAAATATTACAAGTTTTTGATTATCCTCATATTCCGTATTATCCTCATATTCCGTATATTTAGTATTTCATATCCCATTTTATGACTTAATTCTCTCATTTTTTGAATTAACTTTTGATACTTATCCTGTTCTAGATTACGAGCGTAAAGATAAATCTCATCATAGTATAACAGTGGTTTAATTAACATATGATAAAGTAAATTAGTTTTACCACTTCCACTGTTTCCACAGATTAACATTCTAAAAGTATCTGATGGCATGTAAGGAAATAACTGTTTATATTTTTTATCCGGGTCATCGACACTATCATAGTTTGGTATTTCCATTTTATATAATAGTTATATATTTATTATATAAAATGGATATTGAAGAATACAAAAAACTTGCAAGAAATAAAATTGAGGCTGATGCTTTAACTAAACAGGTGAGAGATGTAATAAAAATAACAAAATGGCAAAAACAAAATATGAGAGAGGGTTTTACAGAAACATTTAAACCACTTATTGAGTCTCAAGAGAGTGTTAAAAAAAGTATTGACAATCAACAAAACGCAACTATAGCACAACTTCAAGCTAATCAACTTGCTCTTACACAAGGACTTAATCAAAACAGACTTGCTCTTACAGATGGTCTTAATCAAAACAGATTTGCTCTTACTAAAGCATTAGAAGATATTAATACAAGATTTAGTCCTAGTACAAGTGATCCTAGTACAAGTGATCCTAGTACAAGTGATCCTAGTATAGGTGATAAAATTAGAAGTTTTAAATTTAGTGATTCAGTTACTAAAGAGTTAGAAAAAAGTGGTGAAGCAAGTGCAAAAGGTAAAGAAGGTGTAAAACCACAAATAGCAAAATTTACGACTGAAGATATGGATAAATATTTAATGAATACTGAAAGACTAGATATACTAAAAAAAAATGGTTATGATAATCTACCTTCTTCATATTTAAACGATGATATTGAAAATATTGATAAAACAATTAATACTCTTGTTGATGATATGAATAATCTTCAAGAAATGATAAAAAACACTGCTATTATTTATCAAAACAAAGAAGGTTATTATTTAGCTAAAGCAAAAAGTGAAAATCCACGAAAAGAAACTATTATTAACATAAAAACTTTTAACACAATAAGCACATATTATAAAAATATAACTAATCTTAGGTCTTACAAAATAAAAACTGGCTCTGGAATTACTCTCTTTAACAACCCAAATAATCTCCTAAAAAGACTTGAATTACTTGGTGGATCAATTCTAGCTGGTAATAATGGTGTAATAAATGAGTTTTCTCAAATAGCACATCTTCTAAACCAAATGAAAGTAATTACAAAAAAACAACTGAATGATTTACTAAAAACTTATATAACAATTAGATAAATGGAAGAACGAGCTATTC